AGTGCCAAAGGCAAATAGCAAAATTTTCTTTTTTAAAAAATTTATTTATTTTGCATTACAATTCTTAATACACCATTATACAATAATTTATCATATCTCTGATTATATATTAGGTATGTTGACACCAAATTCACATCTTCATACATGTATTTTGTATAATGATGAGGGTCTCCTTTCACCATCCATGCTATTCCCCTTCTCCCTCCCTTTCCCTCCTGCAAACAGCAAAATTGAGAAACACACTGGATCACTGATATTTGGGAAGGAAACATTCAGATCCATACTGAGAGATTCATAGGAGTCACTGCCTAAGAAATGTTGAAATTCTGAAGTTAATAAAAACCAACAGCACCTTTGGAATAGTTGGATCACAACTGTTCAGTGTGTGAATATCACAGGTCTATTCTAGGGGCCACCATCACTTCAGAAAGCCACCACTTAAACAGTCCATACTGGATGGAAAATAGAGTGAGAGAAAGGAAAGCCCAAAGGGACCTCTCATCTGTTAAGCCCCTGTGGTCACATGCTGCACTCACATTACTCCCATATCCTTGGATTTTCTGTCCAAGTTCTTTTTCAAAGTTGTCATCCACTTGGCTTTTTTCCTCGTCTGTGTTAACTATAGAATAGGACAATTCTTTCTAGCTATTTCCTTTTTCAGGAATTCTAAGAATAAGCAGGCAGGCCTTTGTTTAAGACTTATTGCTAAAAAAAAAGAAAATGAACATTGGAAAACGGCACATGTTCCAGAAACCTTAAAAAGTTCTCATAGCAACTTCCCCTGCACTACAGCTCCTGACTGTGTTTCTTATATGTAAATGAGAAAAGTCAGCCTGGATTCATTCTAGCAATCTCTCACATTCTTCTCCCTTGGCCCCAATTCTGTCTTGGTTTAATGACAAGTGTTTCTCAAACCACAGCCTGTGGTATCACCGGCCTAACATCATTGCTAGGTTTGCTGAAATTCTTAACTCACTCCAGAATCTGCTTGTTTCTCCAAAACTACAGTTAACCCTCTCCTTCCCTCTCTGCTTTTTTCTCACTCTCTTAAGAATGTTCAATTATTTTTATTTAGAAGATTAAAAAGAGAATGTTTTCCATATTTTAAACCTACTAAACAGATATTTCAATGTGTTGCATGCTCTGAATTAATAAACATTTTCYTGAAAATTATTTCCAATGCCAGATGTGATGGCTCATGCCTATAATTCCAGTGACTTGGGAGGCTGAGGAAAGAGGATTAAAAAGTCGAGGTCAGCCTCAGCAATTCAGAGAGGGCCTAAGCAACTTAGTGGCAAAAGCTATATGCATGGAAATTGTCAGATGGAAKGGAAGGATATAAAATAAGAAGCATACATATACATAAAGTAAGTTTTCCTCCCTGCCTCTCTCAGAATTATATAAGCATATTTGATGGTCTGGTCTTAATCGTCTAATAGTCTCTAATTTGCCAATTCTTTTAATCCATTTTTAAACAAAATTTGTAACAATTGTAAATATTTAGAATTCATCTGGTATTTGAACAGAATCATTATTTCTCAAAAAATTTACAAAATAGTACTTCATT